ATAATGTAATCTTTAGGTAGCAACCGAAAGTAACTGTTACAAATTAAATTTACTTGAACATTTTTTTTACTTATAACACCTTTTTTAAAGTTGCAAAGTCTTCTTGTGGGCAACCAAGTTTTACTTAAATGTTTATTACTTTATAGTAACCATTAAAGGAAAGAATGAATATTGCTATTTAAAAGTTAGAATTAATTTTAAGTAAAAATTAAAGTAGCTGTTTAGTATACTTAACTAATTTAAACTTATCAACACTTTGGTAATGGTTTTTGGAACCAAAAATGCTGCTTGGGTAAATATCCATTTGTATTTGTTGTTTGTGTCTTATTGTCCCAATTTATTTTGTTAAGTAAGGATATAATTATAATTGTTATCTCTCAGATAAAACATATCTTTTTATTAAATGATGAATGTTTAATTGTTTGAAACAAAATGGCACAAAAAATCAAAACTTGTTGTTATATTAGCAAATGTTTATTATTAGAACTGTATTAATAATTTTTGTTCAATTCACATTATAAACATATTTTCTAAACATAGTCATATTTTAAAGTTATTTTAATAATTTAAAGTAGCAATAACTGTTAAGATTAATTAAAATAACGAGAAAATCACACTTTTTTCATGGAAGCGTTTTCGAGATGAATTTTCAGTTGTTTTTTTTAATTTTCTGAAGTGTTTTGACATTTTAGAGTATACTTCGAGTTCTAATTGATCGATTTGACCAAACAAGCACTTAAATCAAAGGTAATTGAGCCCTCTACAACTTTTTCTTTTACAGTTTTGGTATCGGCTCAGTAGTTCGATATTGCCGATTTTATGTAGTTGAAATAGTCCTTTTTTTTACAAAAATCGAGGTCGAAAATTTACATATCTTTCTGGGAAAGATAGAAATCGAATAAATAACTCCAGTTTGATTTATTTTACGTATAGATTATACTTAAGGAAAAAAAAATAAGCTGCTGTTGATAAAAATCCATGGATAAATGGCGAAGTTATGAATTTTTCAGTGAAAGACCAAAATTCAGTTTTTCGAGAATTTTTACGTATTTTCTTAATTTTATTGAATTATATAAAATTTAATATTGAAAATTGATTTTTATATTAAAATTAAATTCTATATTGAATATTGAACAATAAATATTGAACATTGAAGATATTGAAAGTTTTATTTTGTTTTAATAAGCATAGGTTTAAAAAAATTCTGGCTCCTTCTTTGTTTTTTGTTGCTTTCGTATTCCGTTTCTCGTATGAGGGACCAAATGTAATCACCCATGATGGCTGCATCCCAGAAGCCGTGATACCGCCGCTCCATAGCCTTCATTTGCTGGTGAAAACGTTCTCCGTGCTCATCACTTACGCCACCCATATTGTCCGGGTTATTTACGCACTCGAACTCTCTACTTCTTTTACTCATTTTACACTTTTTATTAACTAAATAAACCATGATAAAAGTACCTTGTTGAAATATCAAAAATGTCACTAAAATGTCACTATGCCACCACGAAAAACAAAAGAATTCACGTTTGCGGAGTCATGTCAAATTGAAATTTTTTGGTGAAAAAAGTACGTAAAAAACTCAAAGATTCCAATAATGCACTTTACTTAGGTTTCCATTAAAGAATAAACATTTAAAAAAATAAAATAAAAATTGTCAAAAAGCTGAATTTTGGTCTTCCACTAAAAAATTCATAACTTTTTCGATGTTCGATCAACATTAGCTTTTTTTTGTAAAAATATCAGCTTCACGAAAAAAAATTCAAACTGGAATTATCTGTTTGATTTAAACATTTTCCAGGACAATATGTAAAATTTCGACCTCAATTTTTTCCATAAAAAAAATTAGTTATTAAAATCGCTAGCGTCAAAATACATATCCGAAATCAAAAGTCTGTAAAAGAAAGTTTTAGAGGGCTCAAATACCTTCAATCAAAGGGCTCGTTTGACCAAATCGATCAATTAGATTTTAAGCTATACTCATATATACAGGTTGTTTCATAATATATGCGCAGGACTGTGACAGCTCATCCAAAAGGATGTGATAGCTCATCCAAAAAGATGAAAAATGTCGCTATTAACTTACCCTCTAAAATGCACAATTTTCGAGATACAGGGTGTTGAAATTTTAGAAAAAAAATCGGTTTTTTTTCGAATATCTCCGGAACCGTTTATCGTACAAAAAACAGCTTTTGTAAGCAATTTTTACTCATAATAAGATATGATTTGTGCCAGAAAAAATTTTTTTTTACTTATAATTGGTGGAGATTTTGAAGGGGTAGCGGGTGTTTTTCTCCTCAACTTCTACGCCCCTGAAAAAAGTACGGTTTTGAGAGGCCCATTCGAACCGCCATGTTTTCTACACAAAAAAGGTACCTGGTCATAAGCTCTAAAGTTGACCGTTTTCGAGAAAAATCGACTTTTATGTTTAAAAACATGGTCAATTTTTTGAAAAAAAAATGTTTTTACTAATTAAACAAAATTTATTTTAACGTTAGAACAAGTAACAAAACCAAACGATAATTGCAGAATTAAAAAAAAATAAAAATGATTTTTTACACAAATGCTGAAATGTGCGAAATGCGTTACCTTTACGGTTTGGAGAATTTTGCAAAGACAACTTTTGAATAATTTTTTATTATTTTTTTTTTAATTTTGCAATTATCGCTTGGTTTTGTTTCTTGTTCTAACGTTAAAATAAATTTTGTATAATTGGTAAAAAAATTTTTTTTTCAAAAAATTGACCATGTTTTTAAGGGTCGTAGAAGTTGAGGAGAAAAACACCCGCTACCCCTTCAAAATCTCCACCAATTATGAGTAAAAAATTTTCTGGCACAAAATATAGCTTATTATGAGTAGAAAATGCTTACAAAAGCTGTTTTTTGTACGATAAACGGTTCCGGAGATATTCGAAAAAAAACGATTTTTTTTCTAAAATTTCAACACCCTGTATCTCGAAAATTGTGAATTTAGAGGGTAAGTTAATAGCGACTTTTTTCATCTTTTTGGATGAGCTATCACATCCTGAAGTCCTGCGCATAGATTATGAAACACCCTGTATATGTATTTCTATGATGATATTCAATAGTAAACATTCAATTTTCTTGGTTTCTTTAAAAAACTTTCTTGACCCATCACTGGTAATATTCATAAGAAAAAATTGAACCTACACCTTAAAGAAACCAAGAAAATTGAATGTTTACCTTAATGTTTAGCCCGGTTGGGTTAATTCTAGATTCCTTTAGGCCATATTAGTATCTGTGATACAATTGCTGTGTGCAGTCTTAGTTGCATAGTATGTACCGATTGCGGCAAAGGCCACGGCGTTTGACGGTGTGGATCACCTGATGTTCTTACATCTCGCCTCTGTTGACTTAACAACCGAGCATATAAGCTCAGGGAGTAATTTGTTTTGATTGTGTTCCACTACACCAAGTTGCCCGACACTGATGAGACCCAATAAAGGTCGAAACAGCTGTCTGTCGGTATTTGAAGCTGGTGGAACGCATTCAAAACAAAAAACTTTGGCGAGGTGTAGGTTCAACTAGATAATTTTTGAAACCAAAAAAAATAACAGTAGGATGAAACCCATTGGAAAAGGAGAAGAATATAATAAAAATGAAAGGAAAAATAAATTACGGGCGATCTGACTTCGGGAAGTGGGAGGGGGGGTTTAAGGGTAAAAAATGGTTTATCTCGATTTCCGGCAAAACTACAAGTCCTATGGAAAAAAGTTAAATGGCAAAGTTGTAGGTAATAAAAGGATCTACAACTTTTGTAATTACAATTTTTTTACATAACCTCAAAATTTATGTGAAAAATTCAAAAAACCAAGTTTTTGTTTTTTTATTTTTATCTTTTTCAAAAAAAAAAATTTTTCCTCGAAATTTGGTGAAAACTTACCTTTTTATGTCCCAAATACACTGTAATTTATTTGATTTGAAATATTTATTATTTCGCCTTATTTTGACTTAATATCAAAAAAGCACCCTAATTTTCAATCGAAAATTCTCGCGTCAAAATATCAGCTTTTTTCAAAAAGTCGGTGTGCTTTTTGTTTGTTGAAATCTCTACTTTCTGATGGTGTAAAAAAAATATACATTACTATGGTAAATGTTCTCAGAAAATGCAAAAAATATTATAATGAATAACGAAAAAAACTCGAATTCGAAAATTTATTTTAATCATTATGTACAATTTCATCAAAAAAATGTGATTGTTGCAATTTTTTTAGTTAAAAAGTTTATTTGTTAAATTCTAATAACATTTATGTCAGAAAATCTTATAAAATATAAAAATACATGTAAATCATACTATTGAATTTAGATACTTCATTCTGATTACGTTATTCATTATAATATTTTTTGTATTTTCTGAGAACATTTACCATAGTAATGTATATTTTTTTTACACCATCAGAAAGTAAAGAGTTCATCGAACAAAAAGCACACCGACTTTTTGAAAAAAGCTGATATTTTGACGCGAGAATTTTCGATTGAAAATTAGGGTGCTTTTTTGATATTAAGTCAAAATAAGGATAAATAATAAATATTTCAAATCAAATAAATTACAGTGTATTTGGGACATAAAAAGGTAAGTTTTCACCAAATTTCGTGGAAAAAATAAAAAACCAAAAACTTGGTTTTATGAATTTTTCACATAAATTTTGAGGTTATGTGAAAAAATTGTAAATACAAAAGTTGTAGATCTTTTTATTACCTACAACTTTGACATTTAACTTTTTTTCATAGGACTTTTAGTTTTGCCGGAAATCGAGATAAACCATTTTTTACCCTTAAACCCCCCCCTCCCACTTCCCGAACTCAGATCGCCCGTAATTTATTTTTCCTTTAATTTTTATTATATTCCCCTCCTTTTCCAATGGGTTTCATCCTACTGTTATTTTTTTTCTCTTTTTACCATTTTTAAAGGCTTCTGCACTGGTCTAAACATTCAATAGTATATTTTAAAAATTGATATTCAAAAACTATCCTTGTAATTACCTTGTGAAATTTCCGATGACAAGATTATTGCTGCCACCCCCATACACGTTATTATTGCATCTCCTCCGTCCAAATCTCTTAGTGTGCTTGCAGAGGTGCTCTTTAAACCTTCCCCCGTTCCTCGTGTGATGACTGTGATTCCCCTTCGTGATCTGCCTCTGATTCTTCTTCTGCCGCAACAGAGACCCCTTAATTTTGGTCCGCAACCGGTTGCAGCTGCGCGCAGATACCATCAAACCTTCCATGGTCATGTGTCTCTAGATCTAGCTATGTAGTATCCGTATACATGATTGTTGGCACTTTAACATACGCGCACACTGGATGCATTTTTTTACTCGTATACTTGTGGCACCGTTAGGTTTTTTGTTGTGAAGTTAATTAGCAGCATTTCGTCTTATCTAGAAACGAATTCGTTGCTTGTTTAGAGAGGAGATAACGTTAATCTTTAATGGAGTGTGCTTATTTTATTTTATTTATAATAATGACGTTTAAAATGTGTTTATTATTTAATAACAATATTGTGGGTGCGAGTTGGCCAGTAACGTGTTTATTGTTAATACATCTAAAATCCAGAAATAGATTTAAAGTTTTAAGGAAAGAGGTGAAAATAAATGTGTTTCCAATATGTTAATCTTTTAAAATAGATTATTAGTTTGGATTTAATAAAATCTTAGTGATCATTGTTAAGGTTTAATTTTTACCTTATTATAAAAAATTTGACCGTGCGGTAAATCAACAAAAATAACTCAAACTGTGGTGCTCATAATGCGATGTATTTTGTATGGGTTTGGTTTTGGTTTAACTATGAACCAATAAGTTGTTGTGTTTGTGTGTTTGGTAACGACTCTAGCACCATAAATTGTACGAAAACACGGCACCAATTTTCAGAAATCGCCATTACCGTTACAAATACGACGCGAGCCGATGATAGACGAGCTAAAGACGGGCGCCAACCTGCTGAGTCAGTGATAGAATTGAAACTGTGCGTTCGGCGGTCTGGCTTAAGTTCCCTGTGAAAATTTCTCGTCGCCCCCACTTCACTGGAACGACACAAGCCGGCGCACAGACAGGTATTTTGAGCTAAAACGTGGCCAAAACTCAATTTTGATCGTTTTTATTACCACCGTATGCATCTATAGCTTCACGGAGGTTAGGATTTCGTATGTTTTTTTAAACATCCCTTTGTATATTTGAAATAAGTTATTGTATCTTTTGACACCTTCGTATTTTTTAAAAATACAATTGTACATGGGTAGGGTTGCAACTTTTCATGAAAAGTTGAAATTTTTGAAAAGTTGGGTTTTATTTTTCGGAAAAGATGGAAAAGTTGAGTTTTTTGTAATGTAAACGTATAAAACATAAATAATGCTTGTCAATGTATTAAATTTTTTTATGTATTTATACCTACATACGTAACAAGTTGTTTTATAACAAAATAAAAAAAATAACAAACAAAATAAAATGAATAGACAACATAATCACAACAAAAATAAACTAGGTTTGAGTTAAAAAAAAAACAGATACGAAATAAAAAATAATTACAAAAAAATATGAAGCAAAAATTATTAAATTTTTTGTTGTTAAAAATTATGGAAATTTACAAGTAAAAATTTAAAAAGAAAAAGAAAAGAAAACTTTCTTCTTTTCTACTTTTATATTTTCACTTGCAAATTTCCATAATTAAAAAAAATAATATTTTTTTCATACTGTGTATAAATTTAAAATACGTTATAATAAAACAATCTTTATATAATAGAAAATGCTGTTAGCAGACACCATTTTTGATAAAGTTTGACAGAATGTTATTCCAAAAAACAATGATTTTAGCACGTTTTACTAAAAACACTCCAAATCTAGCGAAAAAAAAAAATTATCTACCGAAAAAAATGTATGGTAATGGAAACAGTGGTTAGAAGTCAACTCATTGTTCATTGGCTCCCACCTAATAACTCTTCAAACTTTTCCAACTTTTCATAGGGGGTGCCGAACTTTTCCAGCAACTTTTCCAACTTTTTGACCGAACTTTTCCTTGTTTGCAACACTATACATGGGTCATTTTCAAGAAACACCCGCTTTCAGGAAAATGAAGATCAAAATATTTTTTTTGCTTAAATTGACTTTTGATTGGATTTTTATAAATGTTTAGAGTTTTGTTTACTTACATTTAAGACAGGCAGTGCACTTTTTAATTTTTTTTACGTTTTTTTCAGAAAAATGTGTTAAGCTAGCTTTGTATATCTCCACTGTGTTACCAATTTGAAATCCAAAATTTAATTCAATAAAAAAAGTTGTTATAAAAATAATTTGAAATAAAATGTACTTAGTTCACAAACTTTTGACTCCAATTTTTTATTAAAAATTGTATCCTTTTTTTTTTAAATATGTATTTTCGTTAAGTTACTTTTTAAAAGAAACCATTCCGATTCTTTAAAAAAACAATACCATTAATATTTTCTTTTAGTCACTGTATTAGTGAATTAAACTCTAATTTATAAACACGTATTACCAAGTGATAGTGTATAAAAATCATTTTAAGTATTTTTTTTTAACAAAAACTAAAAAAAGTAACGAAATAAACATTGGTATCACAACGGACAGGGGTACACAAAGGACTTAATCAGATAACGTAAAAAAGAAACTATATAGGGTGGTACGATTTTAGAGTAATGCATAAACAAAATCCCTTATAATGATGCGCACTTGCAGAATAACAACTTAGATTTCTAAATTGTAGACACCTTTTTTCTTTGACTATAAACACCCTTTTAGTACTTTTATATTGCGTGGAATTTTTCCTTGGATGTAATCTATATCATGAGTTGTAATTACAAATAATTTTAAATTGGTTAATCATAAACTACTTTTAATTAAAGCGACGGTAAATATCCACTTTGTTGTCAAAAAATTCGATTGCGTTACCCTAAATTCCATTGCGTTACCATAAGGTAACATAGTGGACTCGGTAACGCAGTGGACAAAGTTTTGTAAAATCATATTTTAAAAATAATAATAAGGCATAATAGTCATTTATTACTCTCAATGAGCTTTAGTGCCCTAAAATAAACATAAACATGAAAAATAGTATTTTCTTACCTTATTTTTATTATTTTTTTGAGTAACTTAGCGGACAAACAATTATTACATTACGTTACCCGCACCTGTTTCAACCGATATCTTCTTCCTGATTGAATAAATAAATTCAGCTGGGTAATATGTACGTCCGAACATCATTTGTTGATCACGTGAGTACCAAAAAAGTTGCCATATATATGTTTTTTTAATATTCTATCGGTAACGCGACGGACGTAACGCAACGGAAAAAATGTCTGGGACATGAGTCAAATTTAAAAAACTAAATTAAAATTAATTATTTTATATATAAATTGTTTATTGTAAATGTATGTCAGTTTTATAAAACGCTAATGGGACATGCGAAAATGTGTGTTTCACAAGTTTCAAAATTAAAAAAAAATTATTCTGAAATATCTAAACAAAAATTTTCTGAAAGAGTTTACTAAGGGCTTGTTAGGCTTTCACTAGGTTTTTAAATCAATAAAATCCGATAATTTGGTTAATGGTTATAAAAATGATTTCTTTTAATTTTTAATAATATTTTATTTTTGATTCGATTGCTTTGGATGTGTTTAATTTACTTGGTGAACTGATATTTTTAGTATGCTTTTACTACCTCAGATATTTGAAAACATATAGGTTAACCTAGAAAGAGTAACAGTCACGGAGGATAGGTTTTAGACTTTGAAAACATTGTAAAAAATAATTAATTGCGGTTAAAAATCTGGAACCTGAGCTGTAATATCTACTTAATTATGAAAGATCAAAACACAATAAAAGTGTAGGTCGAACTCATTTAGTTTTATTAAATATCACGGGGTAACACCATCGGTGGACATTTCGTGAGATTCACCCATATCATTCGTCAGATTTTTTCTAGCATGGTCCAATATTGAAACCCAACATGGCCCAAAGTTGTTTGACCTTATATAACCGATATTGGAAATCCGCATTGGACCGAAGTTGTTTTACATTATATTCTAGGAAAGTTGAGGGAGAAATTGAAAGAAAAAAAGAGAGCCACCTACACCGAAAAAATTAATGTAGTTGAGTTAACATTTGCCTAAATGTCATTTTTAAAAATGTTGTTTCAACAAAAAACCTATTGGATTAATCTATATTTTGGTGTTAAAGCAAAAGTCAGAGTTTGTCAAAGTTTATTTGTTTATTTGACAGTTTAAATATTAATTTAACATAAACTAATATTTTGAATTAAAATGTTTATCGTACTTTGATTTAATAGCTGGAATTTGTTGAATCAACTACTGAAATTTTTAGGATTACCTAAAAAAACTATTAAATTAACGTTTAGTTGCTCTTTAATCCAAAACTTTAAATTTGTTCATTTAACAAATTTAAAATGTTACTTTAAAATTTAAAATGTAAAATTTGCATTCATAAAATTGCCGAGAATGGCGCTTCGAACACTCACGCCACGTCATTAGACAATGACGTTTTCTTACATCTCGCCTTAGTTAGCTTACGATTAGGTGTATATAAGATGAGATATCTGTTTGTTTAAGGTGTGTTCCACAGTAGAACTTTCACTACACCATATTGCCCGACACTGTTAAGACCCTCAATACAGGGCGAAACAGTCTGTCGGTATTTGAAGTAGGTGGAACACATGATACAAAGATGTATCATGGGTGGAACACGCTCAAAACAAAAACTCTGGGCGAGGTGAAGGTTCAATTCTTTCTATTTATATATAATAATATATTATTTCCATAATTTTGTTTTGGATACCAACCTTTAAAGAATTTTACATTTTCAGAATGTTAATTTAACATTTTATTGGTGTTAAGTGAATATGCTAAAAAGGTTACCTGGACATTTCAAGAAATTTACCTTAACACCCTAAGAATGTTAAATTAACCAAATTAGCAGATTAGAACAAATATTCTTATTTTGTTCATTTGACTGTTATTTGTTGTTCAATTAAACAATACAATTTGACATTTTTAGATGGTTAAGTAAACGTGCAAAAACCATTGCTTGTATTTAAAGTGCATAAAGAGTTGAATTAATATTTTTTTTGTTGTTTCAACAGCTTATTTTTTTCAGTGTAGTACTACGTAGTAGAAGAGATGTACCCACATCATGTCTTGCGCTTTTATCCACTCTGTTTTCACGAACTTCACTTAGAATTTAAGTTCTAAGTGAAGTTCGTGAAAACAGAGTGGATGAAAGCGCAATTGATGACATGATGTGGGTACATCTCATCGGGGCCTCAGAACCCTTCTTCTATAAAATTCATCCATCATAGAACTACACTAGTAAAAAACTTTTTTATACATATACCTATACTAAAGAATTTACCTGGTGAGTTAAGAGACCTTTGAAGAAAAAATAAATAAATCCGAACACTTTTTAAAACGATAAATTATAGGTTTGCACCTCATTGAATGTTGTAAACTTTTTAATGAATATTTACCATTTAAGCATACGTACCAATTAATATAATAATTAATAAGATGATTACAAAACCTTGATATTTAAACAATAATTAAAAAGTGCAATTCTCTAAACAGTGCAATTAAAATAAAATCTCACCGGATTCTAATTACATACTATATCATCATAATAATAATGCACGGAGGCATGTACTATTGCTGCCATAAAAAAGTAATCAATTAAAATATTGTGAAATCAAGTAATATTATATGTTATCTATTTAGTAAATTTGTTACTTACCGCGATTCAAAAACTACACTGTTTAAAATATCTGTTGTGTAAAGAGTAATCTTAAAATGGTGTCAAAATCCAACACCAAGTGGTGTTAATATAACACCATGAATTATGGTTAAAAATGTTATACACAAACACCAAAACGGTGTTTATCTAAAAATATTTGAGAAGTGCACCTACACCGAAAAAAAGGAATAGTTCATTTAACTATATTGATTTAGTTGACCCATAAGTATTTATTTATTTCAACTGTGGGAAGGTTAATATAAACAAA